TTTTTTTTTAACATTATACAAACGGGAAAATAAAATAAACACAAAGTGCTGTTTGGTAATTCTAATAAGTTAAATAAAATATTCTTAAATAAGCAACAAATGTAAGAAATATTATAAAAAAATAATAATTCCTTGTAAACAGTAAACCAAACTTTTCAAAAAGTAAAGCACAGCACTAACAGTTCCAACATGAACTTTTACTCACAGTGTTCAGATTTTTGGCCAGAAAAAACAACTTGTCCACACTGTCTACAGTAAGTGCAGATCTGCTGCAGTTACAGTGTCAATTCATGTGGTTCAGAGGGACGTAGCCAAGGTGGGCGACAATTGTTGTCAAAGCAGCCGCCCTAACTATGAAGCGCTGTAGGAAACTCTGCCCCAATCACGGACAAGTTCCCTCGTGAGTATTAAAGAGCCGAGCCTTCTGTGTAGCTGCACATGTAGTGGTGGAATATAAATACACACAAAATGTGCGAATTCACTCGTGCACAGCCCTGCACTGATCCGAATGTGCCGTACTGAAACGGTTCGGCACAAGCACATGTACCCTTACACCCCTAACTGTGAAAAGAGCGTGGAACATTGTGCGTTTTCGTGTTATTTATATTGTGAGGAAGTTCTGATTCTGCATTTGAGTCCGGTCAAGTGGTAACGGAGGGAAACAGGGGCAGATTTTTGACATTCAAATGTCTCTTATTCAGAAACTAGAGGGACTATTGAAATAAGTAAAGTATCAGAATGTAGGAAAGAGTTACACTCCAACAGGGTCAAGTTAAACCTGTGATATTCTTTCAAGTTGTTGACAAAAAATTTAAAAAATCATGTCATTAATGGAGGGAATGAAATATGCAGCAGTTTTTGGGCAATAAATCCAAACAGTGATAACTCTTGGTTCTCACTTCCATATCCTTAACAAACTGGTTTGAATATTTGCTTCATATAGTTTTCTACCATATGGTACAAGATTAGGTTGAAAAACCTCTTACTTTTTGAGTCATGAGATTTTTTATTAAGAAAGGTCATGGTAACGGAGGGAAAAGTAACGGAGGGAAAATTGTTCAACCAAGTAGAAGGTGCAGGATTTTACATCATTTGTCGCTTTTTTTCTTCCGAATACTTGAATATTACTTCAAAATGAAAGGAAACTATTTCTATAAAATATGTCAGTCCTTCCAAGCAAATTTGTAAAATTTTAAATACATTTTTTTTTTGAAAAAATCATGTACCTTCATCAACAGTTCAAAGATGGAATAACACAAGATATGATGAAATACATCCATTTATTGACATGATTTGCAGGTCTTTGAAATTTGGGAAATAATTGTTGTTCCATTGCATCTGTTTCATACATGGTCTGTTTAAAATGTATGGAACTTTAGAACCAAAAATGGTACAGAAAAAAGGTCAACAGTTTCATAAACTAGAGTACATATGTATCTGTTCAATACATTTTTATATCAGATGAATTAACTTGAATTTTTACTCTGCTGTTTACTTCTGCTTGACTGGGCCCATTTTTATGCTTTATGGTCATTTCCAAACAGTTTTCTGTATTTTGACTAAACAAATGACAATTTACACTCCTGTTTACTCTTGGCAGGGATTAGAATAGTCAAAAATTGTGATAGTCCTGTTTTAGTCCTGTTTTAGTCCTGGTTTAGTCCTGTTTTAGTCCTGGTTTAGTCTTAGTTTAGTCCTGGTTTAGATCCAGTTGGTCCAAAGTAGTGACACCTGGTTTTGTATAAATCTGTTGGGACAGGGGACATGGGCTCAAAACTGGGACTCTCCCGGATAAATAGGGACGACTTGTCACCCTAGTTAAAGAGTGTAATTTGTATTTCAATAAAATACATCTCAAACACAAATAATCAAAGTAGAGGTATTTGTATAAACAGCTCTTGTAAAAATCAGCTGTATGTTGTCCACTTTTTGAGAGTCTAATATTGAACGAAAATCATGAAGTGCCCGTCAGCATACTAGTTGCTCTGTATTCTATAAGAGTTGTGAGAAGCAGTTATTAACTCATCGTGGTGAATAATTGCTTTGAACGTGTAACTTTGGAGCACTGCAAACCGTTTAAAAAGATTTTCTCATTCCCACTCAGTTCTCTTAGGAGGTCCCAATGAGGTGGAAGGGACAGGTGGAAGTGGAAGCTGGATTTGTCATGGCTGAGTCAGAGTTAGCGCCTCTTCACTCGTTTTTACCTCTGAAGCTGCGGAGGAGCCGATGTTGCGATGGTCCGACCGCATGTTTCCTCCAGTCTGGTGCAGATCACGGGACCCAGAGGCCTCTGTTTCGACGATGCACCGTGGGCGGGTGTTGCAGATGCTCTCCCCGAGGTGCCAGGTGTTTACTGTGGTCCGTCTGAAGCTCAGGCAGATGACTCACTTCAGCCCATCAACAGCTGCGGATTTTACTGTCTGTTGTTACACATTCTTTCCTAAGATAAAACTGAAAATAAATCATAGTGAAATTCAATCCTACAGCCAAAGACCGGAAGCCGTAACCATTCCAGGTGTATGATTTTGCTGAGCTGTTTTCAGAATTCCCAGAGAAGGAGTCCGTTGTTGACTTCTGGCGTACATGGACATTGAACGCAAAACAACCTACTTTATATCAATCAATCAGTCTTTATTTATAGAGCCCTTTACAACACACAAGGTGACCAAAGTGCTGTCCAATAAAATCAATAAAAGTGTCATGTTTTAGTAGCCAAACTTCTCTCAAAACCCCCATTAAAAAGTGCAAAATTCCTGCAGTTAGTAGCACAACAGAACAAGTGGGTGTGAAAAAGTCAATTCAAGACTTTGTTGTGCAGAGTTTTATCAGGCTCTGTTGACTTCAGTGTAAACAAAGGGAAGTACCATTGGCAAAACGATGAAACATGGAAATATTCCGTTTGTTTTTCCCAAATTTGCATATGGCTCTTGGGACACAGTAGCCCGGTGTGCTGTTGTTTTTGTGTCTGGAGGTTTGAACAGGAAGTCAGTAGACCTGTTTCTGTGAGGTGGATTTAAATGGTTTGCCTGGAACCCAGAATACACACTTCTTCAATCTGTCACAAAGAAGTGAGTCTGGTCACTGGTGAATCTTCCTGAATTCAGATGGGTGTGATTGACAGGTGGATTATCCAATCAGGGACACACATGTTCGCCCGTATTGGAAAAAAAAATAAAGGGAAAAAAATATCAAAGTGGATTTCTGCAGAATCCATCAGTGAAGCTCTAAACTCTGTTTATCTGAGAGAAATTAGAGTTTATTTGTAAATCATATGTGACCAGTGAGCTTGTTCGCTTCACATGTGCCACTGAAATAAACAAATCTGATTGGCCGATCACGTTTGTCTGGGCTTGAGATGCAGTAGAGCATCAGAGTCAAACTCAAATTCACAGAGGCCAAAATTTTAAACTTGGACTAAGTCGTGGGCCAAAGTAGGGGTGGGTGATATCTCGATATTTTAAATATATCAAGATATTTTTTAAACCCGATATGGATTCTGACATATCGTATATATCGATATAATGTTTATATTTTCAATTCTGATTTCGCCGCTTCGCTTGTTTGTCTTCTCTGTCGTCGACCCTGCGTGTGTAACTTGTACAATAGTGTTTGGAAACGTTGGGTTTGATCTGCAGTGGATTGTGGGAAACCTCACAGCTCCTTACACTGGTGAGGAACATTGATCTGTTAGAATAATGAACCTCCCGAGCTTCCTCTGCTAAAGGAGCTCATGGTTATCGTAGAGTTAATGCAAAGATGAGCTTGAGTTGAGTTGTTTTATTTATGAATGAAAAGAAGGCAATATGTATGATTTCTTCTATTTTACAGTTAAAGTATTATTTATGTAATATGGGATTTTTTGTAATCTTAAATGTGGCAGAAGCACTTTGTTCCTACATAAACTTCCCACCTCTTGCACTTTATTTTTCCTGTACAGACAAGACAAGTTTAATAATAGTTTTGCTTAAACATTGAATCAGAACAAGCAGAATATAAAACAATAACTACATTTATAATAAATAATGTCTGTATAGTTTATCTGTAGCCGGTGGGACAGCTCTAATACATGTTTGATAGGATCTCATGGGCCAAATATAATTATATCACGGGCTAAATTTGACCCCTGGGCCTGAGTTTGACATGTCTGCAGTAGAGGGAGCAGGGACCAGACTGATATTAAGCTCTATAAAAATAGAGAGATCAGTGTGGATTTGCAAACACATGGTCATTTACAAAAATATAATTACTGTATATAAGAGTTTGAGTGCAGATTGATTTAAAAGTATAAAAGACAAAATTAAGGAGAAACACATACTTCCGTAATGAATGTATTTTGGCTTGTTCTTTGACACTCATTCATGTTTAGCTTTGTTGCATACAAAAAAGTTGGACAGCAGCAGCTTGTCCAAATGAAAAAGCCACACTCGACCTCCTCTTTAAGACTTTACTGTATGCTACTGTTTATGTCTGATGCGTGCAGCAACTCCAGTGGGACATTTAAACGAACCGTAGACCTTTTTATTTGCGTTTTACATCACCTGGCTTCCTGTCCCTGCCCTATCTGGCTTTCCAGTTGAGCGCCATTATTTATGAAGCAATACCTCTCCATGCATGTTTGGTTTCTCACAGGCCCCGCTCCCCATACTCCCTCCGGTGGATAACGCTCCCCTTGTTTCCGCTGTGATATTTGCCTGGGAGGTAGATGCCTGACGGACCAGGTGATATTGGCTCTGATATAAAGGGATGTCCGGGCGTTGAGGAGGAAAAGGGGCTGGTAGTAAACGCACTGAGTCAACTCTTACCTGACTGTCAACAGAGAGCTGGCTCCACTACACTCGCTTACATACGTTTGCTTCTCGTCGCCATGGAAACGTGTCGCTCTGATATCCCAAAACATTCGTCAAACACAGCGGTGCGTTTTACAGTAGCGGCGGGCACACACGAGCTCGCGGCCGCTCTGCTGTTTGACAAGTGCCCTCTAAAATGTGTCTCTCCTGCAGGACTCTATGGCATAAATCTGCTGCGTGGATTCAGCTGGTGCTCCGCTCCTGACGCCCTGTCGCCATTTTCCACAGCCCCCGAGAGAAGAGGGAGAGGAGGGAGGAGGCTCAGGCCATGCCCGCCCTGTCCACCACCATGGGCCACGAACCAGGTACACACATGCACTCGAGTACTGCAGTCTAAAAGCTCCCATATAAATCTTCTTGAATTGTTATTATTGTTATTATTATTATTCTGTATTAAGTAGCCCACTCAAAGACACATTGTTCATTCACTCTACACCTGTAGCCTCAAACGTCCTGGGGCAGACTGACTGAAGTGAGGCTGGCAATCTGCCCCACCATCCTTCATCACCAATCATTCACTCCAAGTTACAACATGAATCTAAAGAGTGCTCCTGTGGTTTTAAAGTTCACCTTCACAGGACTGACTTTCATATCATGTTGGCATAATGCTCTGTGCTGCTAACTGCCTATTTTAACTTATTTCTTTCCCCCGTTAGTAGTAGCAGATCCAAATCTAAATGTACAGTATTTGTTGACTGAAAGTTGGCATCTTTCTGGTGTAAGTGAAATGCTTGGCGGTGTGGGGTGGGATGAGGCGGGTGGATGGGTTACTGTTGGGTTCCAGGATGAGGGCAGGGACGAGGTTTACTTGTTACCTCAAATAAACCTTGTAACTATCTTTAGTTTTTGCCATATTCAGGCATGAAAATCTCTCACCTTTCACCATTTTGAAACCAAAATAGGTGACCTACATGAATTGTGTAGATTCAATGAGAAAAGTTTGGGGAGGTGTCGTAGCTCTTGAGACCGGCACATCACAAACACACACAAACACACACACACTCCCAGTGCCTGACTTATCCGCAACAGCGTGTGCCCTTGCGTGCCAGATCTGTGTTTGTCACGATGTGATTTGGTAGATGTGCAGAGGCTGCCAAATACCACTGAGAATGTCACTCCACTTAGGAATTTGAAAAACCTGGTGCAAAAATCCTACCCACTTTCTTCACTTTGAAGTTGTTTTGTGTAAAGTGCCAGTGGAAGTGGGATTAAAGAAGAGGTTCTCAAACTGTGGGTGAGGGTCCATAAAAAGGGGCACAGAGTGATTGAGTGCAGTACAGTTTGCTTGGTTTATTTTAAGCCTAAATGAACATTTATCAGATCAAATTGAGATAGATTTATAAAAACATTGGTGTACGGTATATGTGCCAAAATTAGGGCCGGGTATCATTCAGAATTTGCCGATACAATACATATCATGATACATAGGCCACGATACGATACATATCTTGATACAGTGAGCCCGCGGCCAGAGCCCGCGGCTCGCGGAGGCTCGGGCACGTTGCATCTCACGTGGTCAGAAAAAAGTAAAAAAAGTGTAAAGAAAAGACGTCAAACTTAAAGAAATGCTCGCGGTGGAGTTTTTTAAAATAAAAGCCAGTGAGAAACAGACGTTTACAATCAAATAAATAAATAATAAAAACTGTGTTAACGGCGTTAAAATAATTGTATGAAAATAATAATGACTTAACTGGTTAATGCAAAGTTAACGCGTTAACATGCCCGGCCCTAATTTTAATCATCAAAACAGTGAAAATGTCAAATGTGTCGCATCAACAAGTTTCCTTCCTCTAAACAATCAACAAAACTGTAGCTGTAACAAAATAATTTAGTAAAATTTACCAAAAAAAGACTCTAGGTGATATATCGATTCAGCAGCCCACAATATCGATACTGTATCATCACATTAAACGATACGATATATCGATATTTCAATATTTCTGAACACCCCTAGCCAAAATAACTGAAAAACACAAATAAATGTAGAAAATGACAAAGATGGTCTCGATTTGGTCTGAGTGTGTCGTGGTTTTGGTCTTGACCCTCAGAGGTCTTGCCCCCTTTCCCCCCCCGCGTGCACCCTTCTCCCTTTTCACCCCTGACCCGTTTTCATGCCTGCATATTAACTCCAGCAGGTTTATGTTTGGTGATTTATGTCTATATTGTGATGTATTTTTTCATCCTTGCAATTATTGTTTAAAAATGGTAATCAAAAAATTTGTTAGAGAAGGAAAAAAACAAAAAAGCGACATCAACAGTGAGTGAATTTCCCTCCTCACCTGCTACATCTCATTGTTCTGAGGCGTGTGCTGGTTCTGTGTCTGTAGCGCTGTGTAAGACTTGTCATCACCCGGCCAGCTGCCAGAGCTCAGACCTCTGCGGGCCCGGGCTGTGGTTTAACAGCCCCGCTCCATCACCCCAGACACATGTCTCGGGACTGCACAGGACAGCCAGAGGACAGGGAGAGGACAAAAGGACGTGCGCTCCTCTGATGGACAAAGAGTATGTGCTCCTTAGACGTTTAACAGCCGCCCTGGAAATTCACACAGACAAAGTGGAAAGCCAGATCGACAATTAGGATTAGAGTCATTTGGGGTAATTGCCGGCGATGGTTTGTGTTTCCAAATCAAACAGTCCTGGGGCTCATCTCTGGTGTGATGGTCCTGTGAAGCTGTGCAGGTGAAACATGAAGACCTCACAGCCCCGGTGACTCACTGATGCCCGTGGACAGACTGGTACCAGCGCCAAGAACAGGATCACAGCTCTGCCAGTGCTCCACCCGCAACCAGATCCTACAGATACACTCTGGAGCATGGAAAATGTGTGTCATCTTTAGCCACAGGGGAGACCTTTAAACGGTTCTAAACTCTGGTGAACCTTGTCAACGCCATCTAGAGGACAGGCTTTTCAATCAAAACCTCAAAGCTGTGCAACCCTCCTGAAAACAATGATCACAGAGACCAGATTTTTTTGTATTTTGTATTTGTTATTTATCAGTTAGGGTTGTCAAAAGTACTGAATATCAGATACTAATCAATACTTAAACTAGTATCGAAATTAGATACTCCTTTGAGCAAATATTGATACTAAAAAAGTCACAGGACAGAAATGAACCTGAATAGATTAAAAATGATGTTGAGCTGTACCAGAACAAGTATAAGAGCACATAGACTAATATAGACACATGGACACTATGGAACCTACTGAACCACCGAGGGAGTAGAGGCCACATGGGAATAGAATTGGAATTGGTATTAAATAGTGCTGTCAAAAACATTGCATTATTAATGAGTTGAACGCAAAACAATTTTAACAGCGTTCATTTTTTTATCGTGAGATTAACGCTCTTTGTAGTGAATTAGTTTTTTCATAAGATGTAGCCTCTACGGCTATAAACTGGAGGCAAAACAATCTGTACAAAACTGAGAATTCCTGGTTGGAGGAGGTGGACTAAATCACGGCACGGTTGGTCATGAACACACACACACACACACACACAACTTCACTATACAAGCCCTGCTTGTATGTTACTCATACAAGGAAAACACAAAATCAAGTCCACTCCACTACACGCTGCAAATCCGTGCTTACCTTCAGTAAGGACTGGGACAGACACGGAAGTTTTGCAGCTTCATCTCTGGCTGTTTTCACTCCTTGCAATTATAGCCATAAACTCACGGAGGAGCGTGTATCGCAGCAGGACTCACATCTGTCTCACTATTTAAAAGATATTTCTGCCACTGGACTTATTTTCTCTGCTAAAGCGATAGTTCTGCTGTGCCACATGTAAACACAGCGCCTGTGATGACATCATCGCGCCTAATACAGCAGTGTTGGGGCAGACGAACACAGTCACGTTAACTGGAGATCACTGGACGTCCCTCAATCACGAGCACGACCTCAGGTCACAGCACATTACTTCATCCACATTCAGTCATTGTTACTGTTCTGAAGAAGGAAGAGACACATTACTCACAGTGTCAGAGCACTTTATGAAAATGAGAGTGGAAGAACATCCAACACAAAGTCATCACACTAACAATTGTTATGGTTTGCAATTAAAAAACACTTTTCTTTGTTGATAAGAGTATTTAAATGATGATTCAAAAAAATTGGGGTTAATTTGCAATTAATCACGAGTAAATTATGACAGTCAAGAGATTAATCACAATTAAATATTTTAATCAACTGACAGCAGTAGTGTTAAACATTCAGTCTTAATATCGAAGTAGAGTTTGAAATTTCTCATAATCATGAGATTAGCCCCAGTACAGATATAGTATTGTATAAGTTCAGTCAGGAAGTGTACAGTTGCATGCTAGTTGTTAACTTGCTGCAGAACCTCACGCCCATGGAACAGTCAAGTCAGGTCACTTTCATTTCTTTGTATTTGTACTTGATCAAGATATTCTAGCAACATTGAAACACGATGTGACTAGGCTACGTGTCTGCCTATAAAAGTCTGGGTCAAGCGTAAAAATTGCCTGAATTTGAGCCGGCTCTGGGTGAGTCGGGGCTACGTGAAGTGCTTAGCAGACGGGCCTGTGTGTATTCTTTTCATCATAATGCGTGTTCTGATGGTAAAGGTTTTTGGCTGCAGTTTATTTGACATTATGAGAAAGAAACACAGTAAATCACCAGTGTGTAAACGTCAGGGATGCGACATTCCCTTTAAGACTTCCTCTGTGTGCAGTTACAGGGAAACTCATCTCTGTACCACCACACTTTGTTTTCCACAATAAAGGGCACATGGGAGATCATCAGACCTCCCTCTCCCCAGACACCGCCTCTTTCCATTTCTAGTAAAACATCTGGCTACATTTTGATACTGAATCCTGAATGTTTCCTTTTGACTTTATGGTGTACTCTTAATTAATTGTCATTTAGGGCTGTACAGTTTTCTAATTGCTATTTTTCTGATAAACATTTTGATTAGATTTACGATTTATGTAATAATAAATAATACGATTCTGTTGGAGTTCACATTTTAAACACATTCAGAAGAAGTGAGCAAAAGACTGAAATCTGAACTGACAAAGTAATAAAAGTGTCACATTTCAGAACATATTGTACTGTACTGATCTAAACTACAGAGAGACAGTTTTTATGCAGAATAAGACAGGAGATTTTATTGTTTGAGGAGGAAATTATGATGTTTCAAATGCATTTCAGCCTTTGTGGTTTGCTAATTGCATCCATTCAAATTGTAATTTTAATTTAATTTCATTTTGCAGTGTTATTGGCATGACTCAGCTTTTGTATACCTCTATATGTAGCTTTGGTATTTTATCAACTTGGACTTTAA